AGCATTTTCAAGCTGTTACATCTGTGCCTCCTACCTTTGTATATGTACTGCATATGTAACTGCTATTAAAAGTTTTATAATGGAACTTAAAAGTGTGTTCAAATCACAATGAAATAATAAGGCATCTTGAGGCATCTTTTTTTCTGTGGCTGTCTGGCAGTGTGAGTGGGTCTGTGAGCTGAGCTCGTGGCAGAGCTGCAGCTGCTGTTGAGCATAGCCTGGCCAGCAGAGCCATCTGCTGATAGCTCTGCACAGGGACTGCCCTCAGCTGCACCACGCCTGCCTGGGAGCACTTACTCAGAAGTGGCAGCAAACTTCACTGATGAGGAATGATTTATTTGTCAAGTAGGTGCCTGCCATCCTGAAATGGGGGGGCTGGTCCAACCCTCTTTTGAAACTCAGGGAAGCTCCATGCAGGGAGTACTTGCAAAGGCACCATCTGTTATCCAGAACTTTAGTGATGAGATTTTATTTGCTGTTGTAAAAAAGTCAATGAGAAATGAGTATTAATTATTTTGGCAGGTTGGTTTTGAATGCAGGCTAGGTGGACAGTGTTAGGAGTTCATCCCTTATGTTTACACTCCTCTCTTCCATGATTGCATTCCCATTGCCCTGTTTTTGCCTGACTGTGGCTGTTTGCCTACAGTAACTCCATTGTATGGCCCCATGATTTGACTACACAGGGTGATTGTCATGAATCCTGTCAGTCCCAAAAAAGGTGCACTCGTGTGACTGAGGGGCAGCTATTAACTGCAGGAACAGGAGTTGCTAGAACCCAGCAGAGCACTGCTCTACATTGTCCCTGATCCTCGCTCTGACTGTGACCAAGCTAGGGACTCTAAAGGAAATGCAAACACTGTGCTGGATTCAGGTTGTCTATCTGTATCTTCTACGCCTCTCTTTTTAAAAAAGGAAATAAAGAGAGGAACAGCCTGTGGCTTTCTTTCCAGCTGAGATTTATCAAAGTTCTGAGAGCAAAATAGAGTGGATTTTGTTGCTTCCTTGCATGTTTTTGTGCTGTTGAAGTATACTTGATTTACTCTGCAAGGTTCCTGCAAGCCATGTCATGGGTAGAGCTGAATGCATCTTTTATAGCACAACCATTATAACTCTATAGCACATAGCAGGAAAAGCTCAACTTAATGATACTCCATTTATACCCTGAAGCATAAAAGTATGTAGAATTCCATGATAACAATGAAATAGTTCTGTGTGATTTGTTGTCACAGTCACATTTTTGTGAACATAAACAAATCAGAATATACTGAAAGCATCTAATCAAGTGTTGAAATCTGAGAGTGAGTCCACAGCTTCTTGACTGGTAATTCTTGCAAATGAAAGGAACAGTAGATAAAGATGTAAAGGCTTGTACTGAATCTCAAGCAGTCCTGTCTTGGTCTTAATTGGTATTACTAACTTTTGTGTAATTTCCTTCTCAGTAATTAAATATAGCCTCTGACTGATGAACACATCTTGCTACTGCTAGAAGATACTTTTTTGTTACAGCTATAATTATTTACTTTACATGTATTTTTAAAGTTGTATTTTGGAAATTGTTGTCTTTCTCATCAAAATAATGCAGTAAATGCAGATAGGTACAACAAGGGAAAATTATTCTTTTTATGTGTTAAATACTCTGTGCAAGGGTAAATCCGTTGTTTTTTTCCAGATAATATATTGCATATACATGTATAGATTTTTAAGGCTTTCTCTACAGTTAAATGGAAATAAATTATTAAATCAGATTTTTCAGGATATATAAATAGCTGAACTATGCTGGTTATCTTCCAGTGTTGTCCCTGAGCAATCAGAGGGTACTCATGGGAATAGCTACACCCACTTCATCCTCCTGGATAATCCTCCAGGGAAAAGCAAGTAAACAACTAGGAGCAAACAACCCTAAGCTTTGATATCTGATGAACAATTCCAGCCCAAGGTTGTGTTTTAAAACAACTTTTTTTGACCTGTCTAGATTTGAACTCTTTTATTTATGCAGCAAAGAAGTTAAAAAATTTTACTCACTTGCAGCAAAAAGTATTCTGTCACTGTGATTTCCACTCATATGAGAGGAATACAAGCTGTCTAAACAATCACCCGCCTCCAGCATATTACCCTTCAGCGACAAGGCAGGAGCAGCTCTGAGTGCACATCTGCACACATGGGTCTGCCCTGCTGGCTGTCCCCACCCTGTGCAGCAGTGCCCTGGCCACCTGCCAGCCCAGGCCCTGTGCCACAGCTGCTATCACAGCGTTCCCTGGCACAGTGCAGTCAGCTGGTAAGCACTACAGCACTCCAGCAAGCAGGGAAAGCAAGAAGTGGCCACTACTGAGCAGTAGATTCTAATACACACTGAGGTAATCAAGCCCCGTGGCACGAGCAGGAGCCTGCTGGTTCCTGGCCAAACAGCCCTAAGAGCTGTGAGTTCAGTCCATCCCACTTGAACCTGTTCTTATCCCAAACCCTTGGGGCCCCACACTGGGCACCAAACAGAATGCTGTGCTTTCACCCCCTCTAGCAGCCAAGCCCCACACAATCAGTGCCTCCCTCCATCCCTCCCTCCCTCACCAGCAGGATCAGGAGAGAATTGGAAGAGTAAACTGGAAAACTCATGGGTTTAGATAAAGACAGTTTGATAGGGAAAGCAAAAGCTGAGCAGAGAAGCCAAACAGAACAAGGCATTAATTCACCACTTCCCATGGGCAGGCAGGTGTTCAGCCATCTCCAGGAGAGCAGGGCCCATCACATGTAATGGGGACTTGGAAAGACAAATGCCACCGTTCCAAATGTCACCCTCTTTCCGCCGTCTTCCCCCCACTTCATACACTGATCATGATGTCACATGGTTTGGGATATCCCTTTGGTCAGTTTGGGTCACCTGTCCTGGCTGTGTCTCCTCCCAGTCTCCCATTCACCTCCAGCTTCTCTGCCAGACTGGAGCGTGGAAAAGCAGAAACGGCCTTGGCTCTGTGTAAGCTCTGCTCAGCAGTAACAAAAACATCTCTCTGTTATCAACCCTGTGTTTAGCACAAATTCAAAACACAGCCCCATACCAGCCACTGTGAAGAAAATTAACTCTATCCTGGCCAAAACCAGCACAATCTGCCTTACTGTTACCAGTTCAGTTGTTTTGAGGGTTTTTTGTAGATTTTCACTGCTAAGAAATTCAGTCCTTTGTGTATTCCCTTTCAGCTGGTAGGTAGTCTTTGTATTTTAAGTGGTTTTTAAGAAGGTTTATGTTTCTGCACCTTAAAACTATTCTCTATTTTTCATCTCCCAAGATACAACAATTATTACTGGAGAGAATTGGAAAATGGAAGCCTCAGCCCTTTTATTAGAACTATTCTGAATAGTTGAAGGAAATAGCTGGATAGCTATAATCTTGAAAAGATTAAATGTTCATAAGGGAATAATAAAATCTCGATTTTTACTTGATTAACAGAATTCCCAAATCCTAAAAATGCCATCTTATTAACTTGTTCTTTTAGAGAGGAACACTTGCTCTAAACCCTGAGGTGAGAAAGCCACCAGATGTTTGGTGGCTTTTTTATTTTCTTTTTTTTCCTAAAGGCAAACTCTCAGGAGTTACTGAAAAATACCTTTACATGATAAATCTTGAAGATGAAAATGGTATTTTTTAAAATTGCTTTTCTCCACTTACCTTGCTACAGTTAAATGTTACCACAGAGCATAGCACAACCCCCAGAGAACTGAAGTCTGTCAGACAGGTTGGGATGTGGTTATAAGTAGGAATCGGCATAACTGTAATGAGTAGGAGCGAAACAGGAATCTAACGTGATTGATGAGAGATTTTGGGGGTGATTCCATCTGCCTGCTTCTCATCCCATGTTTTTTTGCAGTGATTGTAACATTCTTAGTCCATACAGTATATGAGGATGATCACTTGAAAGATAGCCTTGCCTTGAACAGGGTGTAGATGAACTACAAATAAATTCAAATTCTATAGAGGAAAAAAACAATACAGCTGTGCTAGGGGCATTTGTGATTGTCAGCAAAGGTGCATTCACTTATGTCACATGAGGATAATCTAGTTCATGCTGGTTCCTGTATTATCTGGGGAAATCTTTGAGTACTGCAGTATGATAGAGTATAGATTTTGATTGACTTACACTGAATGTATAATATTCAAAACAGCCTTTAAGTAAAATCTTCCATTTTGAAACAGGAGCAACAATAGCCAGATTTTTTTTGTTTGTGGCCTGTCTTTACTTTTTCTGTAACAAATACAATATACTGAAAGTGTAATAAAATGCATCTAAACATCAAAAGAAAAATAAAAAATAAGAAGAAAGAAGTGTAACTTACAGAAAGGAAAAAAGGGGATATGTGATACAGAAAAGAATAAGATGTGTGGACCCAGCAGCAGTCATGTTTTTGAAGAATCTTTGTGAAACTGAATAAGAAAAATCCTTAAAAATAAAATATAGGGAGCTACAATGAAGGAAACATTCCATCTGTCTCTGGTAGGAGGTGACTGGTAATAGGACAGAGTTGAATCTCTGCATGGTATCTTTGTGATAAACTGAAAATCTGTGCATTCTCTTTTCTCTGGTGTAGCTTGACTGTGCTAAAGCATGGTTATGTTTTATAGGAAAGGAAAATAAAGAGTTAAAAGGAAATGTGATAGTGTAAGCTGCTGACTGTCTAGGTAAGCAGAAAAACTGGCAGTTGCGCAGAAAAAGGATTTGGGTGCAAAATGGAATTGTCTGTGTGTATATGTTAAAATTATGATTGATGAGTGGTGATGAGTAGACTTTCTGGTAGTAAACCTGATGTTCTGAACATGCAGCTTATTTGAAATGCCATTGTTTCATGGAAACATGGAAAATTTTGCCATGGATATGCCTAATATAACAGTAAAGGAAGTGTTACGTTAATAATGGGCATTTGTTCTCTTTATTTTTAACTCATTTCTTATCTTTTTGATTTATATTCTTTTCAAATTAGATATAATAATGTCTATTTTCCTTTTTCTGTTCCAGCGAATTAGAGATCTAGAAGATAAAATAGAACTTCAAAAGAGGCAACTCAAAGAAATTGAAGAAAAGGTAAATTTATGTCTGGGCAGTACCAATGGATTTTTTTCCATACAAAATTGTTTTTTTCTGTTGCACTGACGTTAATAGTACTTAATATCACAAAATCTATTTTAAGACAAGGTAAAATTTGAGTTTGAGTCATTGCTGCATGAAATGCAGCTCTGTCCCTAATCTGCTCAAAATTATTTCCTATCCAGGATTTCTGTCAGTTACAGGAAGGAATCAAGGAGTCTGGAGAGACTCTAGACTAGTAGAAGGAGGATTTGCTGTGGTTTAGATCATGAAAGAACAAAGATCTGTTTCTAAAAAAATTGGTTAGCTCAGCCATATTCTTTGGATAGCATTGCTTTGCAAAACTTTCAGGTACTGAGAAATAAAACAAAACTAGTGAAGTGGTTGTGAAACACAACAGTTAAGGAATACTTGCTGGAGTATAGAGAAACAAGTTAATATAATGGATCCATTTTTTTTTTTTTTAAGAGGAAGCTCTGATCAAGGTTTCAGGCAGCAAATGCATTTGTGTCACTGTTTCCCAAGCCAAGAGATGGCACAAGTTTCATGGACTACGGGCTCAGGTTTTTCCCAGATCTGTGGAGTCTAGGCTGCTCTGCAGATGATGGACTGACAATGGGTCTTTGTCTAGAACCCAGCAGAGTATTTTAGTTACATTACTTATACTGAACCAGTGTCTAGATCCCAGCATGAGTCACATCCCATGTTCATTTTCTTCAGCATTTATGGGTAGGTAATCCTGCATAAACCTACTGCTGGGCTGAATCGACACATTAGTGGAGTTTTCAGTCATTGTTTTTTTTTCTCTTGGGATGAGAATGGGGTAAAAGGGAAAAAGGAAGGCTTTTGCAGGACTCTGGAGAGAGTTGGAAGGGGTCAGTGGGGTTTGCAGAACAGAGGCAAGCTTTGGGGAGCAGCTCACGGGTGTGGAAAAGTTTCTTCCTCACCCTTCTCTGATCTCAGCATCCCTTCATCTGCTTTCAGGACATGGCAGTCTCCCGGTTGCACTCCCAGCAACTATTCCAACTCCCTCAGCATCTTCCTTGGCCCCTTCTGCTCCCACAGTTGTTGTCTCCCCTCTGGTGTACCTTGTCCTGCTCTTTTCAGACTGTGATATCTGTCTGGGTTTGTGGAAGAGCCAGGAGAAGAGCCTGCAGGAGCTGGGCTGCGTGGTGCTATTGCTAATTATCGCTTTGTGTCAGCCCCCGGTGGCGTGGTTGGGGCTGTGTGTGTTGGGAGGGCAGTGCTCCGTGTTTGCACTAGCAGAGAAACACAGGCAGGACAGAAACACCCTTAAATCAGCTCTTTCACTGCCTTTGCCCTCTTCTGTCCCAGACCATGTCTATACCTGAAGCTGTTCCTGCCTAGCAGCCAGTGATGTCTAAGGTGTCACACTTAACTCCTCAAAGCAGAGAAGTGTTGAGGGATAGACAATACTTGTACATATTAATTTTTTCAAATATTACTGTTTATCCACCTATTCTAAAAAAAACCAACATCTCTAGATGTTGCTATTGCCAAAATAGAAGCCATTAAGGCATTGCCTTTACAGTTTACAGGGCAGGTATAGGATTAGCCAGACTGATAATTTTGGCAATGGAAAATAGCATTATCTCTGCTGGTTCATCAGCCGGATGGATGCAGAAAAGCACTGGAAAAGAAAGAGCTTAATCACAAGCTTAGCAGAAAGCTGGTAATGAGTTAAAATGATTAACATCCTCTTTGCTTTAATGTTACATTAGCAAGAGACCTCAAAAAAGCTTCATCTCTTTCTATTAACCTTCAGCTTCTGGATGGGTGGAGGACTTCCTTCTGTCCCTATTACATTTAAATTATTTTTAAATGTAATAGGGATTAAATCTCATTCTGATGGCCCAATGGAAGATTGTGTTGTCAGGGAATCAGTGAATAATTTTATTATATAATTTTAAAATAATTTTAAATATAATAATTTTAAATGTAATATTTTTAAAATAATTTTACCTCATTGTTCTTCTAAAGGTTTAATGTGTTAAAGGGTGCAGACTTATACCTACATGCTGCTGATACTGACTACAACAATTTCTTGTGGATAGAAGTCTTATGCTTTTGAAGGAATAGCAGGATTTATAGCTGAGCCTGGTGGTAGCTAAGGGTGATGCACCACTTACAGTTATTCTGTCATGAGTATGACTTTTCATTTTCCTTTAGGAGGGGATTCAATTTGTAGGTTTTGTGTAAAAATCTGTCAAATCAGAACATAAGGATTACAGTATTTCTGCCCTATAGATTCTTCAACAAACTGTCCTTCCTGTTTCTAGAGGCTATACAGAAGAATGATATAAAATCTCAGTTTTAATCTGTGTGTTGATATATTAGGAACAAATGCTGTTTAAGCATGTTGTGCTCTTCTCATAGCTGATTTTCTGCTATTACAGTTGCATTTAGGTGTGCCCTTGGCTTGGTAAGTCTTGGTTCAGGAAAGCTTTAGTGTGTGTAATTTTAAGTACTTCTTAAGTGAATCACAAAGCCAAACATAATATATATGAAGTTAAAAAATCCACAGATTTTGCCATTTTAAAACTGCCCTGAAATACTGATTTTTTACTACTTTTTAGAGTAAGATTGGTTTACTGTGTCTTTCTTTCAGATCAACTCAATTAATGATGTAAGACTAACTGCTGTAATGTCACTGGATTTCATATTACATATCTTACATCTTCTTTCTTTTCTTTTTTCCTCATTTTCTTTTGATCTTATGTTATAGTTTTTGTTCCTTTTTTTGTTTTTTTCACTAGCATTCATTCTGTGGCCTTGATGACACAACTGAGCCGAGACGTGTGGTTGGTATTCTTTATATTTCTTTGTACTCAATTTTTGTCTCCTAGATTTTGCCATGTTTTGGGGATTGTTTGTAAGATTCTGAAACCATGAGGAAGGGCAAACTGGTTTTACCTGCACAGGGAGGAAGAGTCATCTATAATGTTCAATTAGGATACTTTCCTTCCTAAATTCCTGCAGAAAGTCATTGGGTTTTCAGAGAGAAATGATTTTGTAATCAAAGACTACCATAACTGCAGTGAGTGCTTTACATACTTGCAGAGCAGATATATTTTGTCTGAAAGTTCAGATATTGCTCTAGGTTCCTGCCTCCTGTCATGCTGGATGGAGAAGTGACAAACAATGTTTGACTTTTGTTTTCTAAGAAGCCCTGTGAGCATAACCACCCATGCAAAATAAGGAGCTGATTTTGATCCTTGACGCCATGAAATAACTTTGGAAAGAATAACAAATTATGTTATTTGTTAATCTCCTCCTTTTATGAGGAGATTTGAAGGTTGCAATGTGAATGACACAACATGGAAAGGGTGAGGGTAAAAAGCCTCTATGGCTCTCCCTTGAGACATTGCCATCATTCTCACTGTCCTTCCACAGTGTCCTGATCCTTTCACCTGCAAAAGGCAGTGAATTTCTTCAGCTGTAGCAGGAGCCATAGTGCCAGTACTCACCTTTCACAGAGAACAAAAGGGAAATGCAATTTAAAAAATGGGTCCAGTCCTCTTCCCTGAAATAATGCAAGTTCCACACTGCCTTTCAGGAAGGATGGCAGCTCAACAGCCTAAGTGTTTAAGGATTAAACTGTGCTTTAAAGCTATTGAATATTATACAGTATTTGTATTGTTACTGTTGTTGGGTTTTTTGGGGGGTTTGTTTCTGTTTTTTGCTTTTTGTTTTATGTTTTTAACCTGATGTACACAATGTTTTTACCTTTACAAAATTTCCAAGCTTTTTCTTCTTTGTAATCTGTTATGAATTGTCTTCAAGAAATCTCCTTGTAGTGGGAGTTTAATCAACATCTTTGAAACTGCTATCAGTACTGTGTGATGAAAAAGGAATGATGACAATAGTTACCCCAAGACTCCATTTTTAGTATGAAACAGTATTTTCTTCTGCCCAGATCTCTAGTACTTTTGAGAAATCAGACCTGTATTATTATGGGCTCTTCCTAGGGTTTATTCAGGTCCAGTATATTCAGTTATCATCTTTCTGTTGATGCTCTTTGGAACTTGCTTGGGGCTTTCATTACAAGCATTGCTGCATATGCTTTTTCTTTTTCAATAAAATGGTAGCAGATGCAGATGGGTGGAGTGTAATTCTCAGGTATTACTATTTTCTTAAAAGTGCAGGAGCTTTCCTTTGATTTTTAGAAGTTGAAAAGTAATTGAAATTGAGCAATATTTTTCAGAACGTTCAGGATTTCTTGAGAAATTTCCTTTATTTTGTTAAAAATTGAGTATATGCTTATAGAAAAGTGTTTGAAGAAAGGTGAAGCCTTATGGTAAGCTATTCACCTTTACACAGTTTGAAGTGAATTTTTGGATGAGATCAGATAAAACAAATGTTATTTTGGTTTAGATAAGTTTCAAAGTGTACTGTTAAAAAAATCATCAAACTATTGTCTTTGGAATTTCATCCAGGTTTTTATACCAGTGCCAATTAGAGGTGCTAATTCTGGATGAATACATTAATATGCATTCAAGGGATTGATAGGTTTCTACACTGGTATTACCTGATAATATTTTGGGTTCCCCTTGGATTAAAGAGATAAAAGAGAAAAAAAAAATTAAAAGAATTTGCAAGAATTAAAAGAAATTGCAAATGTTAATAGCCTCCAGAAAATGCATTGTGCTGATATAATGTGCTACTCTTCATGTTAACAGTAAGTACTTTAGTAATTAAATTCAAGCTTGGTGACAAGCATTTTGAGGAGATAACACAGGGGTAATGACTGTTTAGCCACATAACTACTCTGCTTTTGAGATTTCTAGGAGTGCACATCGCATTGTGGTGCTGGTGTGAAGGGCAGTGTCCTTTAGTTCATCTTGCCAGAGGTGAATTTGTCTCTGATTAATCTAACACAGAAAAGCCAATTTTAAGATACTTAATTATAGTTGGACTTTTCAACACTGTTAACTATTTCAAGGCAAACCAGGTGATTTACTGATAGTAATTTTGGTTCTAGTTATTCTGAAGGTAATATAAAACATTCAGAAAGGCATTGTGCTGTCTGTGAATTTAGTTTGATACCAACATGTATTTCTAAAGTAATGTTTTTATCTAAAGCTCAGCAGAATTCTTTGTTGTTTTTGTTTTTGTTTCAATTACAGGCTATTAAAAGACCCTATGGAGTGAAAAGCTGAGTCCACGTGCAAAAATACAGAAAATATTTATTAAGCAGCTTTAAATTGGTGCATTTTTTCATAAAGCAGTTTGCATAATACTTGAAGCTGCAAAGTATTTGAACTTAAAATTAGAGATTTTTTTTTTAAGATATGGCTTCGAGCTGGAATGATTTCACAATCAAATAAGGACCAGCACATCATAAACACGGAAAAAAGATATCAACAGAACTTATATTCTCACACCAACCAAACAGCAGAAAAAATACAAGTGCAATTACTGGCTGCTATGTGAACTGTTATCTGCCAAATGGTTTTCTTACAGTACTGAGATTTTTGTCTCCATACTGCATGCTTTCAACAAATGTGGTTTGCATTTCACCCAAGAAACACAGGATCTCCTTTTTAGTATCTATATTAAAAAAGCTAAGTGTTTGACATTAAGTTGTCTATAGTAAATAGCTGACAGGAAGCAAACTGTTCAAAGTTGGAAACAAATAAAGATTTACAACCCTGCAGTGGTAAAATTCAGATTAAATTCCTAAATTGAAAATCCACAGGTGCAGATAGGAAGGGTTTTGGAGAAAGGCAAGATGGTAGATTGAAGTATGAACACTTTAAAGTGGGTGAGAACTGTGTGGGAAATGTGATTCTTTGAATGTTTCTTGAAAAGTAAGGCAATGTCTTGTAAAGACAGCTCTGGGAAAATTACAGATTGCATGGTGGCCTGAGAGGTCAAAGAGAATGCATGATGTGCTGTGCTCAGTTATCTCTTTGAGAGGAAGGAAGGACTTGGAGAAATGGGCATGTAGATAAATGTGATAAGCAGAGAAGTAGTTGAACATGCATATTTGGAAATCATGGCATCCTCTCAGGTGAGATAAAAAAACATCATCATTAGCTACCAGGAAGCAAAAACGGCACAACCTCAACCAGCAGAGGTAGACAAACAGTCACTGACCACATGAACTTCAAGAAAAAAAATTGAGGTGAAGCACACACTGAAAAAATGGAAGTTGCAAAGACCTTTTTAAGAGAACGGTTAGAAAATGAAAAAATGCTACTCTTTCAATGATGGAAAAGCAAATCAGTACTTCAGAACTGGAAAGGCAATATGAAGAAATAGCTAATTTTAATTATTTCTTAAATGTTGAGGCAAGATGAAAACATTAAGAGCACAAGACTAGAAGATAACTTTCTCCTCCCTCGCATTTTCTTGAAAATCATATTTGTGTAGAAAGCCACAGAGAAACAAGTTTACTACCATGGACACACTGAACTCCAATATGAATTAGCTGATTACAGTAATACATGAAGTGGAAGTTATGATTGACAAAAATAACATAAAGCAATGAACACCTAAGGAAGGACAGAGAAAGCTGTTGAAGGCGAGGGAATCAGCCTCAGAAGCAGCCTCTTTTCTCAGATAATTATCAGGTTCTGAAGAGAAGTACTCTGTGCAAAGAATCACTGGACAAGAGCATTTACCTGCAGAAGGAGCTGAGACACTCCATGAGATTAATTCAGTCACATGCAGCAAACTGTGGCTGATGTCAGGGTTGGAATAACCCTGGTAGAAAGCACAATTTACCTTGGAAACAAGGATCATGCAAAAGTCTGGAATTTCGATCCCCAGAAGAATGTGTTGCTTACAATATATTGTTCAAAAGGAACAAGCATTTAGATAATCATATTTTCAAATAGAAATTTTTCATATTTTAGTTAAGTCTTTTAGCAGTGTGATGACAGAATGTGGAAAAATAAGGCCTTCACTGCAAGAGAGAGTTCTATCATCACTCAAAAGCAATGGACCACAACAGGAGGTAAACGGAGCTTGAGATAATCAAATCTGGTGCCAATGAGGGAACAGTGATTCACTTGGCAAAGAAACAGTTTTCATAGACACGGATTTGCTCATCACTATTTGAATATGGAACTACGAGCACAAACATGGGATAGCCAGAGCATGGGGCTGCCACGATAAGCGCACTGCACCGACAGGAGTGGGTCTTCTTACAAAGCAGAGAAGGTATGAACAGTTTCATTTCCTTATTTTGTTATGTGTTTTGTTATTTCATTGTAATTTACAATTACAATTGGGTCTGACATTGTCCATTGCATTTATGATGGGGTTTTTTCTGTGCTGAGCTAGCAGGATTTGTACTTTTGGAAAACGGATCGTTGCAGTCTTACTGTCTTCTGTATATTGGTATTTACCATAGAGCTGGGGAGGGGTACAGTGTGTTAACAGGGTGTTAACAGTTTAATAATTGAGATGAAATATTACTATAATAATATGATAATTCTAATAATTGTAATAATAAGGAGAGAGAGAGAGAATTTAACAGGACTCAAGGCAAGCAAGTGTTCTTCACGCTAATTTCTCACTACCTGCTGACCAATGGCCAGCCAGTTCCTGAATAGAGATCAGTCCCTTTCTGGGTAATTCCCTTGAGTGTATTAGTGAGCATGAAACTCTGTGGTGTGGAATATCCCTTTGGACAGTTTGGATCAGCTGTCCCAGCTGTGCTCCCTCCCGGCTCCTTGTGCAGCTCCTCACTGACAGACTTGAGCCACTGAAAAGTCCTTGGTGTAGGGTGAGCATTCCTGAGCAACAGCCAAAACATCGGAGTATTGTCAGCATTATTCTCATCCAAAATCCAAAAACAGCACTGTGCCAGCTTCTAAGGAGAAAATTATCTCTGTCCCAGCAGAAACCAGGACACAGTTATAGGACTGTACTTACTGAAGTGAGTTTCTGAAGAATTTTTAGATCTATGACTAAAAGAGGCAAAAGAACCAACCTTTGCTTGCCTTCTCAAGCCCAAATTTGAAAATTTCTTTCATCTATGGTTTCATGACCTGTTAGAGGTGAAGTAGACGTAAGTAAAATACTGCATATAGAATTCCAAAATACCAATTAAATAAACAGAATGTTTTCTCTGAAATAGTTATAGAAAGGCTTTTGAATAGGAAATTATCTTTTCTTTACTCTTCTGTCTTGAAACAATTATAATGTAATACATTTATCCAAAATAAACACACTCAGTTTTATGAATTCCCATGTTTAGTAGATTATTCACTTTTCAAAACTTTGATGCCTAATTCCTTTATTAATTAGTCTAATTGAATCTTTTATGAGGATCTCATGCTGTGAACGTCAGCTCCCTTCATACATACTAATGTGGCTAATGAAATGAGACTTTCTCATAAATAATAAATGTGTTGAATCAAGAAGGACTGTTCATTTGATCATCAGAGGCTTAGACTCTTATTGCATGCTTAGACTGTAGTACATTGAGAACCCAGTTTGGACTTTTTTCATCATGGATCCTTCATCTGGAAGAGAACAAGAATTTTGTTACTGTATTAGAATGCCCAGTAATGAAGGATTTGGTATCCTGAATTTCAGTGTTAAAATTGCTACTTCCTGGGTTTTCCAGGAATTAGAAGATGCAGGCACACCTGATGAAAATGTAAACAGTGCTGGAGAAAAGAATTTGAACCACAGAATAAAAGAGCTGGAAAAGTCAGTGCAACAACTGAAAGGTGTTCTAGAGGACTACATGGAGTCAGATTCCATCCTAAAAAACAGGTAAATGAAAGGAGGGTTTGCATTAAAATTTATTTTATGTGACAGATGTATTCTTCACTTTGCCATGTGTACTGGTTGTCAAATGATTCATGCAGAACCAGCAAAAAGAAAGACTTTTTGTGTTTTTTATAGCTGTCAGAATATACATGAAATAATAATTTTTTAAGAATTATTGTTTAAGTAAGATTTACAGCATGGTCTAACATATTGTTACAAGTAACCAGGCAGCTTTCTCGGGATGTTTCATTCTTAAATACTCATGTGGTGCAAATTCCTATAATTTTAAAATAAGAATTAATTTGGAATTTCATGTAAAAAAAGTTCCTTGTTTCAGAAAGATTCATCTAATTCAGTGTGTTAATGCTGATCATTACAGTAGATGAAGGTGCCATTAAGCATTAATTATACATTTGACTAGAATAATAAGGTTTTGATAGTCAGCAACAGCATTGTTCTAAAGAATGTCAAAATTAAAAAGGATAGGAAATGTAAATGGCATTAAAACACTTATTTGTGTAATTTTTAATTGCTCTGAATTCATCAGGGAATTTTATCAGAAATTTTTTAACAATAGACTTTTTTTCAAAATAATAATTAAAATTTTTAAAAATATTTTCATATCACACTTCATGATTTTGTGCCACCATTTGACTAGCAACAGGCAAAGCCAACCTCTATTTTTATCCAAAGATGGATCATCCATCTTTGCAGACAAAGTCAATACAATTTTGCACTGTAGGTTTTCGTACCCACTGAAGGCATGTTGCAAGTGAGATATTTTCACTTCATCTCCTAAAACATAGGTACTTGTAGGTTGCCTGTAATGTTAATTTTGATGGGAAAACTTTACTGTCATCAAAATTGAATTCACTGACTGTGAACCTACAGTAGTGCTATGATCAGGTACATGCAGGGACTGAAGTGTTGTGGTTGTCATTACGGTAAGTTGTTACTTCATATAGCATGCCAAACTCCATTGAATAAAAATCCTGTAAATGTGTTTGCTTATGATATTCTTATTAGGTCACCAGAAGGGTGCATAATGTGCAAACCCAGTAGACTTTTTAAGAATAAAGTGTTTCTTATATAAGTGATCAAAAATTTGTTACTATTTTATTTTTGGGAGACAAATACAAAAATAAAGATAAATCGATGCGTTGCTTGTGGCTGCTTATCCACCTGGAACTGTACTGTGGTATTTACTTGGCCAAAATGTTCACTCTCTCACAGGATGAAAGAGCTGGAGCTGTCACACAAAACACTTCTTGTGATGATTGATCGACTGTATGTGAAGCTGGACCAGGTTGAAAATGCCAATGTGCGCATTAAAGGGAAACTGCGAGACATTCAGGAGGACCTGATCAGATTGGTGAGGGGATATTGTTGCAAATGACCTAGTTTCCTTCCTCTTTGTCGTAGTAATTTATAAGTCCAGCTCATCTCCAGTAACCTCTGTTTTTAAGCAACAAATCATCTCAGCCTTTCTCTTTTTCTACAACCAAAAAAGTCAGAAGAACTTTTAGATTTTTTTTTTTATTTCTCATCTTTCTGTTTCTCTGTTGGTTTTGATGGCACTGCTGTTATTTCTCTCATTCAGGTCCTTGATCAAATTTATGCTCCCCTTCTTACTTTCTCCTTAGGACTCACTCAGTGTATTTTTTCTTAGGTCAGACTTTATCTCTCGAGCCCCATACAACAACCATTTTTACCTTGCTCTTTCAATGGATTCATGAAAATGGAGAAGGAATGAAAGATTTTCAGGAACAGGCTTCAGTGAAACAATGTCTTTCGATTCTGTTTATCATAAGTTATACTTTCATTTTCTCAGCATTTTAGGTTAAAATTGAGTAACAGGACACTAGTACCGTGTGGCAAGATTCACAAGAATGAAGAATAGTCTCTGCTTTTGTAATTAAAAGTGAAATGTATTTTTCAAGACTCGGGAAGCTTATACATATATTCCCATCAAGAGTTAACAAAACAAAATACTAGCCCACATCTACCTGACTTTTCAGCCTAGTGTTATTTCTGACCAGTCCTTGCCAGTGACTACCTCAGAGAGGAAAGTACTGACGATCAAAGTGACTGATCTAAAGAAGCCCTTGAAAAGCCAAAGTCATTCCTTCATGTCTCTGTGCTTTCAGTCTTGCTTCAAAATTGCTGCAATGTCCCTGTGATACTGGTGGCTCTTACTCTGCTCAAAGCAAGGGCAGTACAGGACTCATGAAAGCCTCTCCACCTTTCTTTGGCATCTTTCACCTTTAAGTCTCTGTGTTCACACACTGTAGTGCAAAAGAAAATACCAAAGTCTTTCCCAAACTGTTTCAAAAGACATCTGTTCTTTCTCCTTTTTCAGGAGTCTCATAAGAGGAGCTGACAGATGATAGGTGTGGTGAAAAGCAAAGGGAAAAATCCTGGGCTCTGGAAAGTGTATGTCCTGTTTTTTATAACAGAACCACAGCTTCTCTGCCTGTAACACCGCAGTGCTACAGTACTGTCAGTGTTAAGGATCTGCCACTGTGTAAATCAGAGCTGGATATGTGAATTACATTTTTAAGGTTCATTTTGATTTAATATGTACTAGAACATGCAAAAATGTGTTTAAAAGTTTCCTGTATGTCATGTAGTTGCAGATGTTGATGAGTTTGGTTTTTTTGTTTCCTACTGAGATGTTTCAGTGATGGCTGAAATGACTAAACAGGTTATTTTTGCTCCAAATGCAGTATTTTACTGGCTTTTAAAAAATTCTACTTATGTCATTCCTGAGTTTTCAGAAAACAAGGGCATAATTATCACTAAATTAAGAAAAAATATAGGGGAACGAGAGCTTTAATATTAAGATGTTAACTGTACATCTCACTGAAATGATAGGTTGAAAACCAAAAGAAGTCAGAGAAGAAGCACAAGGAAAAATTGCGCTGGCTTCAGGAGCAGCTGAAGACAAAAGAGGATGAAATAAAGAGCCAGTCAGAATATTTTGAGCACTACAAACAAAGGCAGAGACAACACACAGAAGTACTGAGGAAAAGGGACTGTTACCTTCAGGGTGAGGTATCTAGGCTGGAAAAGCAAGTCCTAGATCTTAATGCCCATATTGCTCTTTTGACATCCAAGTTAGGAGAGGGAATGGTGCAGCACCTCCAGCAGAAGCTGCAGTCATTGTGCAGTGGGACTCAGGGCTTTAAAAACCCTGGTGTGGAAGAAATGGAGTGGAAGACTTGTATTGAAAATGTGGAGCATGATGTGAAAAGCCACCTCAAGGCATTTCAGCAAAACCTGAAGTCCCTGAGGGAGAAAGAAGAGGACACTAGAAGAGAACAGGCAGACCTGCTGACTGAACTGCAGTTCTGTCAGAACACTGAAGACTTTCTCAGAACAAAATTGGAAGAATCTCACCGTCACGTCTATAGTTTAAAATTATCTGAAATCAAACTACAGGAAAAACTGGAAGAGCTTTTAGATGAAAACAGAACTTTGAAAGATCAAAGTACTGTGAAGTTGAAAAAGAGTAAAGAAAAAGGCTCTGAACTTACAAGATTGGTGGATGGGGACAACAGGGTTAACCTGGTAAGTCAACTGGTAAGTAAAAATAATGCAAAATGTAATTAGTTTTTATCTTTGTATCACCTTCGATTACACTCTTCCCGAACTGGTTGGGGGGTGGGAGAAAAGGGCCACGTGGGTTTGCTTCCCGGGGGGAGCCCCATTGGAGGTTTTCTCCCAAATTTGCCCTAAACCAGGACACACGTGTCATTAGAGGTACAGCCAAGATACAAGTGTAAGGCTTTATCCTGCCTGATTCTTTTTTCTTGTTATTGTTTATTAATTAGTACTTCCCAATGTCTCTTTCATACCCAGAAGAATCAGTAAGCAGAGCTTCATCACATCAGAGCTTTTGTGAGGTGGACACTGAGGACACTCAACAAACCTTTTTTCCTTAACCTTTGAAGTGATGTGCTCATGGCAAAAAGTCTCAATTGGCACTAAAAGTAGAGCCCAGAAGAACTTCTGAGACCTTGAGGACACCACTCAGCGGAGGAGGACACATATGGTTGGATGAGTTTTTGCATGTTATTCATGCCCAAATGCTGGAGCAAAAAGCACTCTTGACAATAAATCTTGTCTATGATATTTTCTGGATAATGGTAAACAAGGGAAAATGGATGTGGCGTCCATGACCAGGAATGAGCTGAGATAGTCAATGGTTTGTGGCTCTGTAGCATTGTGATATGCCCTGAATACACTGAATAGGACTTGTTTGCTTTAAGCACTTCACTCCAGCTCTGCATGGGAAAGCTCTGCTCCTGCTGTAATATGGCATTCAGCTTTTGCCAATTCATTTTGCTGACAAGGAACAATTCTTTTCACAGAGTGGGCTCAAACAAAGTTTTATTCTTCATGCACTGAGGTGCAGGGTATTTTTATTCTGAGACTTTATTTAAAATGAGATCAACTATGCCTCATTCAGATTGTGACCTGATATCCCAAGAACTCTCCTGATTTTAACTGCAGTTAACCAAGAGGTAATAGGCATGAACAAAACCCTTTTATATTGGAGGTCAGTCGGACTGTAAGTACTTCCAGAACTGGGAGAAGCTAGAGAGGATCTTGTATCCATAAAGCTAGAGGAAATATAGACAAATTTTTTTAAGCTGGTAGTTGAATGCACTTTTGCAGGCCTGGTGATTTTATCCCATTAGTGTTTCTACAGTCCCAAAGCAGTGAGCTTCAGAGGGTTTGTGTCTGTGAGAGAGGGGTGAGATGATCCTGCAATAACCAGCTGCACGTGGGTGACCTCTGAGGAGAGCTCGGAAGCTGCACCTCACCCCACGTCTCTGTAACTGCCCTGAGGTGGCAGAAAGACCAACTGCTTATCCTGAGCCATTGCAATAGTTACTTTAACTAGTGTATTCACTTCTCCCTTTGAATGAAGAATACGGTTTAAATATATTTTAAGATACTTCTTGAGGGACTTGCACTGAGTTGTAAATAGGTACAACAAACAAATGCACTATGAGGGTACTGCACAGCTAAAATCAAGAGGAGTGAAGGCCTTCAGAGCCAGAGGAGAAGTAGTGAAAAATTACCATTGGTTTGATAAAATTGAGAAAAGGAGAAAAAAAAAGTTGAGTTACTTAAAGATGTGAAAGAAAGATACACAACTAATTGCCTGAGGCCAATCCAAGAAGTATCAAGAAACAGGACTCTTTCTACACTGTACTCTAATAAAGGCCTATTTTTTCCTCTACATGGAGTTTTCTAACCATTGCTTTTCTAAATATTAATTTACATTTCTGGTGTCATAGGAGGTTAGAGTTTCAGTTACCCACTCTTTGGTATAAATGAACAGGCCATCATTTATGTTTACTTTACTCTGCTGCAGAGTAAATAGTGTTCTTTAAATGCTATGTATAGCATCAGCAGCATCAAATCTTGTCCCTTCTGCATTTATGGTTGTCTCTTCCTCCTATTTTTGTACTACAAGAACATTTGCATTTTTCTAATAGAAAATGACTTGAGATAGCAGGGAAAAAAAATTCAATATCTATGATAAAAGGAGGAGGGAGACATCTGGTGTTTTTCTGTAAAACCAGCATGTATTAAAATAGAATTTCTCAGTCTCATTACCTCGACCTTGTAGTATTTAAGCCAAAGTAGTGACAAGAAAAATCCTATTTGAGCTCATCATACTCGATCAACAGCTATAAAAATGAGAAATTACGTGCAATACAAGATCCAATTAGGCTGAACACCAAGGGATGAACTGCATCTCATGGTGGAATGTAGTCACGGAAATCTTGTAGCAAATTGGAATTTCCAGACTCAGCATCCTGTCTTGCAGTATTCCAGTTGCAGTATATGCCTAAATGAGAAATGAACATGCACCAAAAAACAGCTTGTTACATGTGGCTGTGTGTTGACTTATTGGTTTCTAGATGTGAGCATTCGGGGTGTCTGTTGAAGGTGAGAGAAAAGTATGAAAAAACAAAGCAATGCACCTTTCTGCAGCTTTCACATGACAGCTGAGGTCTTGATTTTTCAGTGTGATGTTCTGCCACCTGAGCATTGTATCTTATACATCATTTTGTTTAACTTTCTTTTGACAGTACCCATATATCAATCAAGAATTGATATCTGTAAAGAAATAAATGAAAAGGTGCAGGAAAGGAATGTGTTTCAAGGAATTGGCATTGGTTTCAAACAGGTTGCCCAGAGAGGTTGTGGATGCCCTGCCCCTGGGGGTGTTCAAGACCAGGTTGGATAGGGCCTGAGCAACCTGGTCTAGTGGAAAGTGCCCTTGCTTATGGCAGGGTGATTGAAACTAGATGACCTTTAAGGTACCTTTCAACCCAAAACCTTCTATTAGTCAATATTACTGAGAAAATAAGGGAAGAAATCTTGGAAGTGTTGTGGTTTTCATTTAAGTTGTGCATCCCAGTCAAGATCTTTTAATAGAGCACAACAGTGAGGCAGCTGACTTGGGTTGAAATAAAAATTATTCTCAACGGTGATCCTATGGAAAACCAGCAGCCCTTTCTGACTAATTAGGAACTGAAGACTTGGAAGCCATTGCCTTTCCCATCCATTTGTATTTTAAAACTGCAGCTCAGTGCAAAGGGACCAGATTTATTTTCTGCTGGCGTTGGATGCAGAGCAGTGCAGGAAGACAAAAGTGCCTGTGTTGGCTTAGTTTCTGTGGTGTAGCTGTTTTGGTTACTGTCTCAATCATGTTTTGTTCAGACAATCAAATCTGATTCTTCTGTTCTCTGGAAATGAGCATGTGAAATGTGATCTACTGTTATCAAGCAATGGGGGTATCTGCTTTGCATCAGGAAGTGTCACCATTTTCAAATTCAATCAAGGACTCAAACGTAAAGAACAGAATATGAAATCAGCAATTAAATTACCAATGGACAAACAAAATTTTGTTCGGAATGATTATTCCACTTAGAGTTCTTCCAACCTAGGAACAATTGTCTTTGTAGTTGGGCACTGAACTATTAGTCTTATTCCCTACTTGATTGAACTTTCTTTTGTCTTTTTTGATGGCCATATAATTTAGTCACTGTTCCACCTGTGATCTGACATATTACGTGCTTAGGACTCAGATTTTCTTCCTTACTGCTTTGTAAAGTATGAAGGTGTGGTGCAAAACCAGTACATTAGGGAAAACTATAGGAAACTTTAGAATTATAACATTTACTGGAAAATGTTGAAATTAGAAAATTGTGTGAAATAATAGCAGTTCTAATGAAATAATGGGTATTTTTAATGCAAAACGGCAAAGAAAATTTATATCCCTGTTTTTCGTATCACAAATACCATATATATGTATATAACCTGTGGGGTTTTTTTTCCTTCTCCTCCCTCTTTCCCATTAAGAATGGAGATCTAATTCAGGATGAAGTTCAGAATCTGAAATGGAGATCAGTCTTGGATTCACACAAAAGCAGAGCTACTCAAACTCCAGTTGTGCTGCTCTATGATAAAGAGTCTGGTATGCAAAGAAATATGAGGTTTTGCTTTCATTTTTGCACCATTAAAGTGAAGATGATTTCATTCATATATGATTTAGAAAGTGTAAACCCTAAACCCTTTGAAAATCCTCCTAATCTGTAAACTTTATCTGGGGAAGATGAAATGATAACTGTTTACCACTATTTAGATATGAGCTTTCACAAGAAAACCCAGAACTTCCAAGAAACTACAGAGGTGAGGGGGTACTTTATATGTCCTGGATGAAGTACAGTATTTGGGAATGCCATGCAGCAGACAGATTTGCTCTTCAGACTAAACAATGTGAAAGCTGTTTTTTGGTAGATTTTATCAGGTAAATTCTTCCAACATAAATTAATGGGAATTTTATAGTAAATTTTAGTTTATGTAAATGCGGACCTGCACTGAGTAATTTTAACCAGTAAATTTAATCCATAAGTTTTCACCTGACCACTGTAATTTTGTATTTTCTATTTCTAAATGCTTTGGGAACTGGAAACCATGAACCCCAAATACACTTTGTTTTAGACCTCAATATTTATGGGCATTTTATGAAGCTCATTTTCATGTTTAACATCGTGCTTGCATCTGTATCAGTGGTGGTGTATGCTGCTGGTAGAGAAGGTAATTTTGAGCATACTCTCACTTAAATATTTTTCTATTCAAAACATCTGCTTGGATGGTTTTGGGTTTGTTTTTTGTGTAACTATCTGGGAGTGCCATTACATTTGTGCAATGCTTTACCATAACAGAAGCACCAGCCTGTAGTTGTGACGGACTGAAGCAGATGGAAGAGCTACCAGAAGAACTTGTACCTGTTTTGGAATGTAGTTCCAGTGCCTTTGCAAAAGTTGCTGGTCTAGCTGAGACTGAGCAGGTGAGAAGAAAAGTTACTGCTGTTCTTGCTGTCTTTGTGCACAGGGAACATGTGAAATTGGAAAGCAAATGAAGAGTTGGTGTATTTAAAGGTGAATATAAAAGTAGTTTCAAATCGTAACTGCTACAGATGCTTTACAAGGTGAATACAGGTGTGCACTAAGAAGATTATTTACTTACTCATACCTAATTTGTAACCTTACTCTTGTTGCAAGACTTTAGATAATTTGAAAACCCTTTGTATGATTTTTTTCCTTATCAATCTGTAATGGAGTATTTTGTGGATGAAGGAAAAAACAAATTATAATTAGTAACGTTTATAGCATATATAATGTATATAGCATTTAGCATATATTTTTCAGTTTGAAACATTTCTCATTTGCTATCATCAGGTCACCCTTGGACCACAGAGGGCAAATGCTCTAGAGGACAGTTTCACTTTGCTCAGGTGTACCCCAAGTCATCATGCAGCAGGACTGCTTCCCCCTTGTTCTGAGAAGTTACCCAATGATGAGACAAGTAAGGAAACCAAAGATGAGGAAACCTTTTTTCTCATGGATGAACATGCTATAACTCTACCAGTGAAGACATTCCCTGTTTCTGTGGTTGAAATCTTAATGAGGAATAAGCTCCAACTCACCTTGTTTGAATCTGGAAGATGCCACATAACAGCTTTCACCACTGAGAAGAAAGTGAGGAGTTTGAGTTTCTGTGAGACAAATACCGATCTTTGGTCTGATGGTCTTTGCATTGTTGTAGAAGGAGGATTTTATGACAGAGCTACTGAACTTCTTCATGGAAAGTTGCCTTCCACTGTGGCTGAAATTTTCACAACATCTCTAGAAGAATGCAACGTGGAAAAACATTGGGGAAACAAGCAAATTCTGACAAAAAGCGTAAGTAAAACCAAATGCCTGGATAACGATGTTGATGATGAAAAGTATCACCAAAACATCTTTACAGGGGGAGCTAAAAGAGAAGAAATGCAGAATGACAATGCCTAATAACAGGTGACCTGTGATCTTGAGGAAAGTTGTAAAGTTTCCTACAAATCTGAATTATTCAGTCCTTGGAAGCAAGAAGTGGAAGCCAGAGAGAGTCTCCATAGCACACAGGGTACCCAGAGTTTATCGGTTGATTTTAAAGACTTTAAGGAGTGTTTTGAAGGGAGCCCTGAACAAATGCAGAAAGAAGAAAATATTTCAGAAAATTGCATCCCTGATGTGAATAGTGGATGTGATGGAGAAGACATAATTGAAATGGAAGGGAAAGGAAAGCAGGCTCAGAAACCAACTCACCAAACAAGCCCTTCCAGCAATACTGGCCTGAAAAAAGGGAAAGATCAGACCTTGAAGCTATGTGAACCAAAAGAGAATTTCTCATGTCAGAAAATAGCTGCTAAAAACATGCAACATGCATGCTCTCAGAATTTTTTCTCGTCAGATAAAGAGAGGCATCCACTAAACTTGCTGCTTCCTCTGCGTAGTGGTTTCAGTTCAGAAACTAGGCAGAAACTAGCTATTAGCAAACCATTTCTGACTTACAGTCAAAATGTGACTTACAGGAAAAATGTGTACTGAAAAAAGAGATAGAATCAATCAAGAAGCTTCAGAACAGCTTGATGAATTTCAGAAAGCAAATGCAAACTTTATTTTAGAAAAAAAAAATTAAAATAATTAGTATCGTTTTTGGGTTTCACCTATGAAGAGCTAAGAAAAGAGAAAAGTATAGGAACAAAGAAAAATATAGTAAAACTAAAAGAAGAAAGCAAATAACCTGGTCTTAAGCTAGAGAAGTTGAAACAGCATGTATGGTAATACAAACTGAAGAACAGGGAGTTCTAGCTGTAGATCCTTCAGATTATTCCTCTGGGAAAAAGGTAAATAATAACAGTAAGGAATGCTATCAAGCAGGATCTTCTAAAGAAAGGGAGATACAAATGTCATTTGTAGGGCAAGCCTGAATTAACTTTGTGATGGAGGAAACTGTAACCTCTAACATGATCTGAGGTGCTAAAGTTAACTTGGAAATAGAAGGCAAAATGCCAGAGAGGATTTTTTTGGAATGTTGTATTTGAGAATGGTAGAGTGATACAGCAAGCTACAAAGTTAAAAATAATACTTAAAAGACTCCACTGTTCAGGCCTTTTAAAAAGTATTTATGTTATTGCAAGAGTGAAACCTTTTACAAGAAGCTTTTATTCTACCACAAGTTCTCCTAACAGGAGGAGACTTGTTATGGTGAAAAAATCATGTCTTGGTGAAATGCTTGCACATGTTCATTTACTATTTTTTATTCTTATTTGGTCTAATTTTTTGTTTTATTGTTTTGATGCATATGAAACATATCTCTAAAGGCAGGATCTTTACTTGTGGTGGATTTCTCATCCATGGTTTTCCTCTGTAGTTGTGTATCTTACACCACAGTGAAGTTCTGTGGAGATTGCTATGTACTTATAAACACAGAATTACTACTTCACTTAAGAATAGTCAACAGGGAAATATTTATATGTAATACCTTGATTTCATACAAGTTTTTTGTAGTAGTTTAGGAGGAAACCTTATGTTGTTCTATAAATGACTGTGTGCCATTTGGTGCAGGTGAGAGGAGTCATCATGTCTTTCTCTGTCCAGGGCAGCATGTTTGAAAGCTACTGTATGATGAAAGAACAAGTCAGAAAGGCAGAAGAGGAACTAAAAATACAGCAAAAGGAATTAGAAAAATCAAAAAAAGAGGTAACTATCTACTCTGATGTACTTCTGAGGAGCATATTTGTTTTTTCTTGTGTTTTCTTACATGGCTGTCTTCTTTCTGCTGGGTTCTAACATTTTTACAAAACAGGGAAGTCTCTGATCTTCAGAACCAAAATGTTCCTCTGATCTTTGAGTGATGGATGGCACAGTCACTCTTGGTTGGCCAGGACATCAAGTGAATTTCATTCCTGCAGCACACTGTGGCAGAGGCTGAGTGCCCTGATAAAGGCACACACAACAAGCTTCCTACTCTGCCCATCTCTGGGCAGCTGCTTCCCTTCACATCACTGGGAATAAGAAGAAGGAGAAGGCAGTGGAAGCACTGAGGGTCACTGCAAACAGGAATTTAAAGTAGTTTCTGAATGAGAAGCCAGATCATTGTAAGCTGGAACTGGAAAAGGATACTGCTGGACTAATTGTACTGAGTAATTTTTGTTCTTCCTGTTAGGCTCAGAAGTGGTACAGAGAACTTGGTTTTGCTGAAACAAGGTATGAAGAAACCAAAACTCATTTGATGCAGGCTCTCTCAGAATTAGATTGCCTTAAGCAAGAACTTGGGGACAAAATACAGGGAAAGCAGCACTGCAAATTAATGGTATGTATGTAAAAGGAATGGAGAAAAGCATGTTCCTTGGGAGGGAGTGTTCTGGCTGCAGAAAACACCCATTATTGGTATTGAGAATAGATTTGAAGCAAGTGTAGAGCCTCTCCAGCCACTGGAAATTTAAAAGGGAGCAGATGTTATGCAAGGTAGACCATCTGTCTGCAGAATAGTCCAGAGTCATGGCTCTGCATGGGCAATATAAACACCTCACTTTTTTATTTAGGAGGGCTCTTGTTCTTCTGTCTTTACCCAAAGTCATTTTTAGGTGGCCTTAATGAAAGGTCTTGGACTGCAATCTGCAGTGTTTCCAATATTTGGCCTTGTTGCTCTGATTTCAGGCCTTGTAGCCCTGATTGCTGGATTTGGACAGACAAAATGACACTGTGAGCAGATGGTGTGGATTAAAGTCAAAGTCTTTAATAGATGCATGTGGCCCAAATATGTGTCCCCAAAATCCAGGAAATCTTTCTGTCTCACTGGAATGTGTTTGTATCATAGAAATTCTGGTTTTGCTGTAAATTAAACTTTTTTTAATTTTCAGGTGGTTCTCTGTCTTGATACAGGTTTATATTTTCCACCAGAATAAATTGTTTTATGGAAAGCTTTTTAATTACTAAATAATCTTCTGGAAGCACCTTTTATAAAGACATTTCAGCTAACACTGAAACCATTTTTTCCCTCCTTAACTGGTGAGCTGCAAAGAAGAAATATGCAATTTCTACCAGCTGGAAAAGCACATTTGTAGCAATTTGCAAATATTTGCAAATTCATTTTGAACAGGTTGGATAGATATGGCTTTAAAGAAAATAGAAAGAAATTCTGGACAATATAAGGAAAATATAAGGAAAACATAAGGAAAACATAAGCATTCTGAGATCAGTTCAGATGCCTAAATGTCACTGTTTATCCCAGTTAAAGACCTTAGGGCATCCTGGAAGTCCTAGGCAGTTGTTTCATGTTAGCTTGTACACCCCACATGGCACTGTGGGTTGATACTTATTTAGACAGCTGAATTCTGACTGTTAAATGAAAAAGTACAGATTCTTCATATCATTGTGATGTATTGGCATGTAGCATCCTAGTACAATAGAATTGATTTCAAGCAAGAAGAAACTTCCAAATTGTTTGGAAAAAAAAGAAAGGTGTCACATGTTTTGTTTAAGCTAGCAGTTAAGATTTTGGGTGCATTTTTGGGAAATGGAGCGTTAATGCTTTGTTTAGGGAGAATCTGGGGCAATTATTATGTTGGTCAATGAAGTAAGATGTTAATTATTCCTATGACTCACATGGGAATAAAATTCATCAACCTTGACAGAATGCTTTTACACTGGAAAAAGTGCAGGTCAGCCTTCCTTGAAAAACCCTGCCACTTTTAAATCCCTCCAACAACTTATGATTTCAAATTAGTGTTTATTGATCAGTAGTATATATTTATGCAGTACTGTGGTGCTGTTTGGTTTAGGTCTGACTTCTTCATCCAATTGAATTACTTGTAGGCTTAGTGTCAAATTTTTGAATACAGGTGTCTCATTTCAGGGTCAAAGATGCAGTCCATGTACATCACAGAACTGAGTTTATCCTTCAGTTGTACTGTTTGATGGCAGAACTAATTATCTGCATAACTCAAGTCCATTATGTTTTAACCAAATAATATTGATTTTATTGGCACAATTTAGCAAGTAGAACAGTAGAAAATAGAGTAGATGTATCTTAACAAAGATCAACTTTATTTCAATAATTCATTTTTAAAATAAACTTTTTAATATACACCAAGCTGTTCATAGTGGGTTTGGGTGAAGCCTTAAAATAAAAGTTTTTCTAGATAAAAAAAAAAGAAAAAGACTTTTTGTCACAAAAAAGATCATATCTACTTTTCTAGCATCTTGTTACTTCCTGAGGGCAGTTTTGTTGACTGGTGATTCAGTTTTTGTTTTCAGTTACTTGCCACCCCTGACCAAAACTCTTTTTCATTACTCAAAGTTACTAATAAACTCTTACACAATAAATCACAGGAATTTATGCTTTATCCTGTTCTAAACTTCATTTTTCTGGAATGACTCTTGCTGCAATGCTTGAAAGAAGTGAAGATGTGAGCACTCTGGGCCTAGAACCCATAGTGTTTGAAGTATGTCATGTTCTGAGTGTGTCTTTTAGAACTTGAATAGGCGTAATATGCTTTAGCCTAGGAGCATTTGGGTGAGTTTTCTGGGATGTTGAGGTAGCCTTCTGAGCACTGGGGCTGTGGTTGAATTTAAGAAAAATATGAGGGTGAGCAGGAAGGAGGCAGGGTACTGTTTACAGCTTTAAAAATGAATAGAAGAATTTTGCATGAAATGCACACATTAAAAAAAAAAAAAATGCACACCAGGCTTCCCCAGTGAACTTCTGATGACTGTCTGCAAAAAAGGCCTGTAGCAAGAAAGGTCATATTCCTTGTCATTTTCTCACTGAGTTTTCAGACAAACACAATTCACATAAGAGGAAGATACTGGTTTTATTTTTAATGTTTTTAGGTACCAACTTCAAAGACTAGTGGTCTTGCCAGGTTTTACAAGAATGCAGTGGGTAAATGCTATGTTTTAGGCTTAGTTATCCTTTGGTTATTTACCAGTCCCAGCTGCTGGGTCCTTCATCCTTCTGGAGCTTGACTTATATAATCTATGGTCACTGCAAACTGGAACATCTGACAGAGTGCTCATATATAAATCTTGTATGCCTCATTTATGTGTTGAAACTCCAGAAAAGTGCTAGCAGGTCAGCCAAATGCAAAAGGAAAGAGGGAACTTTTCTCTGCCTCTAACCTTCACACAGTTGTTTTATTTCCCCACCATTTTTCCCATAAAAGCATCTTCAGCTAGGGAGTGTTTCCCTTTTGGTTTTAACATACTTTTCATGTGGGAGAGAAGATGAGGGAAATACCATGTCATAGACTCATCCTTAGGTTTTTGTCCCTGCAGTCCTGGTCTAATCCATCTTGATGTGTCCAGCTGTTCCTATTGTTCTCTTGACACAAGAGGGAGCCAAAAAGTTTGGTACAAAGCATTTGACCTGTTCCAGTGCTGTGCACAGAGGACTCACTTCACGAGGAGGAGCATTGTGACAGTGTCATATTTCTGGTTTACTCTGTGTTGCCAAGATGGGTTGCAGGCAGAGTAATGTGATCTATCAGTTCAGTTTGCTGTTCCCTATGGAATGGTGCCTTCAGTGTGTTGTACTCAAGGCTGTCAGAAAGGCTGTGAAAAATTTACTGTGGTGTTGTGCATCATGGCTGAGTACAGGCTTCTCTCTCAGTCATATCAATGTTTGTAACCATTAAAACAAGCCATCATTCTGTTTGTCAGAAAGTCATATGGTTTTACCACAGTATACCATGGGTCTGACTATTATTTTTGGCAGAATCTTTTAGACTTGCTTATATACTTATATTTATCAGAAATCTTGACCAGCTGTGTGTATAAACTCAGTATTTTTTTTCATATAATAGCGTAAGGGTTTTTCAAGATACTTCCTTCTCCTTCGGATTTTCCTCATTCTAAATCTATATATTTAATCTGGCAGTGTCTCTTGTAGGAGCTGACCTTATGATGCTGACCATCAACCTAAAGCTCTCACTAATCCTTTCAATCTGAGTGCAAAAATACTGGGGAGAAAAGAAACTGGAGAGTGGAGGAGGAGGAGTTAAATTCGGAAGCTTCTCTTTCCATTTTTTCTGTATCATTATTTTTACATTTTAATGCAAAAACTATTATATTTTAGAATTTTTTACTTAATATCTGATTAATTTATTAATAGTATTCCAGAAAAATTAAATATTTGGAATAGTGGAATTATGTCTCTGAGATAAATATATGTAGAAAAACAAGGGACATATTATATAGCTTCTCGTTGAAGAAGGAGCCTGAGAACTTCTGAGTTTTTTTCTTATTCACCATGTTACCACAGGTTAGTCATTTCATCTGTCTTTTCCCAGTTTCCCATTTATCAAATCATTACAATACATATATTTACCTTGAAGAAATGTTGTGAAAATCCAATTGGATACCTGTTCTCACAGGGATCAGGTGTGCTTTACATATGAAGAGTTTAAGATTAGTGCAAAATATTAGTGCTAATGTGTTCATGAAGTTTTGGGATCATATATTTTATAATAATTTGCTTCTCTTGGTGTGCAAGGTAGGTAGTTATATTGATTGAAAAGTTTTGTGGTGTAAGACATGATTAAAAGTATTTTTGTTATTTTATACACCTGAATTGAAAATCTGTATATTTTCTCTCTAGCCTGTGTACACATTGAAAGATGCCCAGGAAAAGGAAGTGAATAAAATAGCCAGTAAGAGATTAGAGCAGCAAGTGTTGACCTTGAAAGCCCAGCTCAGGGACCAGGCTGCATTACAAAATCAGTTTTGTGACTTGCAGAATGAAGTGAAACTCCTTCAGGCTCAGCTATGTGAAAAGGTATAAAGTTGTTCTCTGTGTGCCTAAATGTGAGCTTAGACTTCAGATTCTACATCTCTGTTTTCAAAGGGGAGAAGCAAAATAGTCTTCTTTCCTGGGAATGAAACTGAGGATAGTTAAATGGTTTCCATGTAAAAGTACTCCTGACTTCAGAGAAATAGGGAAAATATGTAAACTGCTTGAGTAATCCATGTTGTGGAAAAGTGACAGATGATCACAAAAGTTCAGTCTCTGCTCTAATTAATCCCCATAATGTAATGCAAGGACAGTCATGCTGAAATTCTTTACAGAGCCACTTCCTTGACTAAAATTGTCAGGATTTTTTAACATTCCCAACTCTGTTGTTCCATTAGATCAGATTAGGAAACTCCAAGCTAATAATAGAATTTGATAGAGTTTTCCTAACATTTTTTGGCTCATCTGCTAGGGTTACACATTAAAAGTTTCAGTAAGACATTTTCAGGTGTGTGGTTTGGATTTTTGCCATAGTTACTCTGATGAGAATGGCCATGTATGCACAAATGTACTTCCACAAGCAGTTTTCACAGTTGTGCATTATATTTCACCTGGCAAACCAGAGTGGGTAAATTAAGATTTGCAAAGCTGCTGCCTTACAGCGTGACAGCAAAGCTGCTGCTGTAAGTGTGACTACAGCTACAAATTCCTCCTAGGACTTCTTTCCCTTAAATTTTCTTTCCTATTGGGAACTATATTTTGGAACTGGGTGATAGTTACAATGTGAGCCAAATTGCAATTGCCCAGCAGGCTCTGAAACAGCTAGTAAATGGCATGTTCTCAATAGTGCTCTTTGTTCTTCATAGCCTGATACAATGAGTAGAACATGCTTCTCCATTGTCTGTACTCTGAAATACAAGAGATAATTGTCTTCTCCCTACTGGGAACAGGTTTCATTCTACTTTCTCCAAAGTAAACCCATCTTTCTACAATTCTGGTTTGTGTTGTGTTGTTTGTTTGTTTGGTGGTGGTAGTTTAGTTTTGTTTTGTTTTTCTTAGCCTCATTGTGTGCTGTGGTTTGCTCTAAACCAGTTCTGTTAAGAGGGTTAGTGCCTTCTCTCAGGCATGGGTTAGGGGATTCCTCTTAGAAGAACAATGCTGGTAAAATAAAACTGTTTTGTAGTGTCTGGTATCATATCAGATGATAGGTGAGTAAAGGGTGAGACATTCTGTCCATATGAATGGACAAATCCTAATTGTTCTATTGCATCAGCAAGATGTGTTGCTCCCTGCCTAATCAAGAATTGAGTGTCTCCAGTGCAGGGACCTACTGCCAGCTCTTTCTTTGTTCCCCCAATGTAAAGAAAAAAATATAAAGAAAAAATATTTCCCCTGTCCTGCTTGTTTTGATTCCTCCCAAGCACACAATTTATTATCTGAAGACCTTGTGATCTTTTTCTGCATAACTGAGTTCTCATAAAGGAGAGTTTTTAATGATGAATATAATATATTTACTGTAAACTTTCCAGAAATATAAATTGTCAAGCAAAATAAATGCAAAGGAATCTGTACTTTACAAAGTAAAATCTCTGCAAAGTCTATACAAAAATATGGTGTTGATTCATAATAGTAATGGATTTTATGTAGCAAGATACTGTATTTTTTTCTGCATAATCAGAAAGGAGGGTTACCATCAGTAGATCTTTATCATAAGGTACTGACTAAGTAATCTGGTGCACTCTACTTCACCTCCTAGTAGAGGACATGTATCAACTGTGTCAGAGTAAAAGGTTGTTGATGTTCACTTTTCAGAGTAGAATATACACGCAGAAAATCCCTCCCCTTTTCTCTAATTTTACAATACAATGTTGGTAAGGAAAGGGAAAATTTTTCCCCAAAGAATGTTTTGGAAGATTCAAGAGTAAATATGAACATGAGTGCATAATGAAGGGTACCAAATCTTTACTGTGATGCTGCTGTGATTAAATATTCTCACTGATATAAGGCTCCATCTAAGAACATCCAAAAGCCTTTGTTAATTTTTAAGACTCATGCTAATGTGAGTAGGGCAGTGTTTGTATGCCAGAGCCTATTTCTGTGCAAGCAATGCCTTACACTGATTCATCTTGTTTGTGATACAGGGTCACACAGATATGAAAAGTGTACACCTCAGAGTCAGGGGTAAAACAAATATCAAAAAACTGCTAGAGTGTTTCAAAGTTATTCTTGAATAAATTGACGCAGGATGTTTTTTAACCTTTCAGGAGAAAGAACTGCAGAAGAGAAAATCTGAAGTAAAGTTGACTCTAGCTCCTCTGAAGGTACTGTGTTTCCCTGATTCAGGCCCTAAATAAAGGATATCACTTTGCTTTCAGGCATCTGTGCCTGTGCCTTCCTTCTGCACTTGTCCCTGATTAGCTGGGTACTACTGGGCTTCCCCTTAGGCAAGGGCTCACTGACATTACTGCAAGGTGCTTTCAGCCTGTCAAAAGGGGGACCTTGCACATGGAAAGGGAACATCTCTTTCCCATTTGTCTGTGCATGTTTATTGATCTTGAAGGTGTGGAGGCATCTAATAATGCAGAGACATAGGAATACAATCTATGTATTTGGGTCAAAACGTGGAATTACAGATCGGACACAAAATGTGATCTTGAAGTCTCAGCAGGGAGTGAAATGACAGAACCATGGAATGTTTATGTGTTCATGCCACACAGGCTAAGCTGGCTTGCCTCACCCAAAAGTGCCAGGAAAGGAACAGTTTCATTAGGAGAATGTATGATGAATTCCACAGGCAAGGATTTATTAACTCTGCCTTTGATGAAGAGATGAAGAACTTGGTAAATGACATGACCCTGGCAGAGTACACGGTTGCTTTTACACCAAGGTGTGATCAAGAGGTAAGTTCTCATACTTCCTTGTAGGATCCTCTTGTGTACACTATTGAATTAAGTGGTGGTTTTCAAAGTGTTTAGTGACATTTAATGTGTAATGATAAAGTATATTTCATTGCTTAATATAAGTATTGCTTCAGAAAAATAAGTGGAGTTGGCCATTTTACTGTTGTAGGCAGGGTCTAAATTTCAGGAGTTAAAGCAAAGCGCATCAATGTTCCATGCAAGAAACACTCCCCTGATATTTTGACTAAGTATCTGATGGATAATGCAGCAGATATTACCCAATTTCATTTTAAATATGGATTTTTCATTTCTTTCCTGCATGATGCATTGTTTCATATTTCTGAAATCAGGAAAAGAAGGTCAACAGTGAATATTTTAAGACTTAAGTCAGCTCAGAAGACATTTGTATTTGAAAGGGAGTTAGTCACTTGTGTTTCTCTGGCAAGGCTTAAATGGGAAGCAGCTTGTTACACACGTGGTTCTGTTCAATATTGTCATTAATATCTTGGATACTGGGATTAAACTTTCTAATTTTGGAGTAGCACCTACTTGAAGAAATCTTTAAGGATGGGAATCCCAATCTGGAAACATGAAGAAGCAGGAATTCCCTTGAAGTACTTCAGAGTCCACCAGCAAGTTCTTTTTCCTTTTGATTTTGTTTCTTTTTCTTTTTTTTTTTTAAAAAAAAAGCCTATAAATGTGCTCAAACGATATTTGGTAATGTTTGTGTCAAATACACCCAAGTAGAATCTTTTTGGTTAAAAGTGGGGTAGGGGGAGGAAATACTGTATGTTACACATTTGTATAATATTGTGTGCTTGTCACAACAGAACACAGAATATTAGTCCATACTATATATTTTACTTCAGCTAACACAATGCCTTGCAAAACGAATACATAAAAATAATTTATCTTAACAACATTTGACGTTTTCACCAGCAGAAGATGCTCAAAATGGGCATATAGTATAGTAAATCCACAGGCTTATTTTTCTGATGATTTCACATTTTTAAACACTGAGTGGTATTCTGTATCATGTTGACAGTGCTTATTCTTACAGTGTTACTAGGTGTTGCAAACTATCACTCAGTCATACTTATTTTTGTGACAAAAAGCAATTTAACTGCATGTTAAGGAAAAGGTGGATTGATTCCTGCTTGCAGGGTGGGACAGGACTCTGTGTCTGCCTGCGTCTCCTTTGAGTACCTCATGTGTGGGTTCACCACTGCCTCACCCAAGTTCCCACTGCACAGGAGTGTTTGATGTGACAGTGGCTAGGAACTCACCTGTCAGAAGGGAGATAGTACCCCACTGCCTTCAGACTTTTTCTCAGACTCCGCTGTGATAGATGAGCATTAGTAAAGCTTGCAAACACAATAAATACCAAAATACTGCTCACACTCACACAGGTTCAATGAGGGAGAATTAGATTAAATAAATATTCTGATAGCCAGGGAACTTATCTGCAGCATAAAGCCCCACACTAAATCCCCTGCTTTGATAGATATTTAGCTGTTCATGCTAAGTGGAGCACAAGCCCCTTCCCATGGTGTCTAACACTCTAGTAGCCAGAGGTCTCACTTAGGCTCAGGCACAAATAGGATTCAAGCCTGGGGTTTTTTTATAATGCAGAGAACAGACTGGCTCTTGCTGGGTGTCTTGACACTGAGCTTAAGGCTCTTCTGGTCTATAAGTAGTTCCACATGTAATAGGGGAAACTTTCCTATCAAGGAGGAGTTGTATGTTCCCATGAAAAACATATATTTCTGTGCATCAGGTTTCCAATGGAGGACACTTCAATGAAAAAATATCCAAGTTTCACCTCTGCTAATTTGGTTACAAAAAAAAAAAACCAAAAAAAAGAGAGAGACTGTTTCATATTCATGTGATACATTCCTTTGGTTTGAAAGATCTTGTATGAATTCTGTAGACATATGTTGAAGTGAACTGACTTTTCATCTTGGAAATTTTATTTCTTGCTTTCAACTCTTACTTTCACTGGACTTCACATCTAAGATTCCAGAGCTATGCCCAACATCCACTTACATAAAATTCCTTTGAAAGCTCTTTACTTCCTTCCTGTCAGTTTTTCACTCCTACAGCATTCCTAACGTTTGAATTGTGCCATACAAAACCTGGTGGATTGCTTTTTTTTTTTTTTTTTTTATTTTATTTTCCTTCTTAAATTAGAGAGTTGCAATTGGCTTTATTCATTACTGGACCCAGTAACAAATGGAAGCCTGTCACACATTGGCAGAAAACCTCTGTGCCTTGGCTTGATGAATTTCAGCTCAAAGTTTGCAGTGATGTCTGAAGAGCTGATCCAGAGCCTTTTGAAGGGAAAGGGGACTCTGTACTCAATTCAGTGCCTGGCTTTGTAGTTCAGTAAAAAACTTTGAGTTGTGTTCTCAGAGAAAAAATTGGTTCATAGTTCTATTCAGAACTCTTTTTTTTTGTTTTGGTTTTTTTGTTTGTTTGTTTGTTTTTTGTTTTGTTTTGTTTTTTGTTTTTCACCTGTACATGGAATTACATGTACAGGGGATGGAGCTGCTTCAGCTGGGTGCTGGGATGTCATGGCTTCAGTGGGGGACTTATGGGCACCACCAAGTTACTTGTGCTTACAGACTGAGGCAAACTTCAGTTCTTTGCTTATTCAGGACACAGTGGATGGTTGGTCATTTCCTTCTGTTTGCCAGAAGTATTTTCTCCCTAATTTTTATCCCAGTTAAAATACTAAACCACAAAGATGGTGTTATGCAAAACCCACTGTCTTTGGAGCTTCTCTTCGGGTTTCAGTTTCAGCATTCAAGGCTCTGCTCTCAGACATGGTAAATCCCCCTTGTCCCTATGACTTTATTTTGCTGACTAACTCAAGACCTCTGTCAGTTCAGTTCAGCAGAGCAGCGTACATTTTGAGGCTTGTCATTCTTGGTTATTTTCACAGCCCAGCATTACATTCAAATGTTTGTGAGTGAGAAATAAAATTTTCTTGAGTCATGTAGTATCTCATAATTTGTCCCAGCAGTGCACTCTTCAGTGAGGTCAGATACATGCTAAAGTAATAAATTTATAAAAGAAAGCCAGTTTTCCTTCTCTTAATAAGTTCCAGTAAAGAGGACTAGGTTTTGAATTACTTTTCCTCATGATAAAACTGTACACCATGAAGTTCTCTATTTGTAATTTAGTTTAATTAAGCAATTTAGTTAAATTTCATTTTAGTGAGTTTTTATCATAATAAACATATGTGATTGCACAGAAGGGGTTTTACTTCAATTCTTTTTCATCCACCACCTATGTCACTGGTGAAAGCAAAAATTCTGTGCAGGATGGTGAGCAAATGCTGCCTCTCAGCTTTGAAAAAAATCATCTTTTGGGCAAGTGTTGGAATGACAATGTATGTCTAATATGGACTTGAAATTAGAAGTTAATTTCTAAGGCTTTGTGATATATTCTCTTTTTAAAAGACTTCAGAAACCATTTCAGCCTCTCGGAATGGAGTGATAATAAATTTTGGCAATAGAAATATTTTAAAAATTTGTCTTGTTTTGTGTCTGAAAAACAAAGACACATTCCTGGGACAAGGGCTGCCTCCAGCAGGTACACATGGCACTCGGCATAGTTCCATAGCTGGGGCTCACGTGCTCAGTGTCAGATACAGATTATGTGTCCACATTTGGCCTTTTATCATGTCCCATTTTAATCACCTCCTTTTGAATGCAGATTTTTTTAATTGGAAGTACCTTGGTCTCATCTTTTTTTGCTTTTTTAGAATTAATTCACATTAACAGTTACCGTTTTTCTGCCTTTCCCAGTGAAAAGAACACAGGACAGCATTTATCAATTGATCTTGGACGTTCGTGTTCACAAAACATCTAACAAAAAAGGACTGGGACTTGGCTTTGCAACAGCTGCTTTACTTGGGATGGTAAAAGTAGGAAGCAAGAGAAGATGTTCCAGATGAGTAATAGAATATGTGAAAGAGGAGGCTTGATTTTTTTTCCTGAGTTTAGGTGTCTACTTGCAGTTTAAGAACCAGGCTTTACCCAGTCTGGCTGGCTTGAACATGAGGCAGTGTCCATGCTGCTTTTCATGGATCAGAGAACCACACAGAGTAGCAAGTGAGCTTGGCTCTCCTTTCATGGGCACTCAGCCCAGCTGGTATAGCTGTGCAATACTTTGGGCCTTTTCTCTCTCTTCTGGGCTAGGTGTGGAGAAAAAGGAGTATGTTTAATTCTTTCCCTCAAATGATTGAGCCAACAGCCTCTGTCCGGATGTCTGTAATGGAAAATGCTGCTCATCCAATTTCTCTTGTGCTGGAACACTTTGACCTGATGATATATATTCTTTCCACAGTGGATCTGAAACCATTGTGGCTCTTTGCCCTCATTTCTTTGGGCTGAAAGGGAATTTGTGCAAGGAATGTAGGGATAAATGATAGTGCTTAATGCTTTTCCTGCAGTCATTTTAAACCTTATGGATGGAAAGCTCCAGGCAAGGAATGTGTCCAGTGCAGTGAATTGTTCTACAGAGTAGGGATTAAATGTACAGAACAGCATAGCTTAATTCTTCTTTCTGTCAAGGGATTTCTTCTGATATATGTTTTGGTAGAACAATGATTTTTGTTTGTTTGTTCGTGAGTTTGTATTTCTACTCATTACTTTGCAAGAAATCACTTTGTGCTTTCCAGTGAATTGTATTTGAAGATAATAGGCCTGAAATAAAATTCTCTGATGCTTTTCCTTAAAATGGTTTGTGTGTGGCTGTTAAGGTCAGAGGCTTTTCTGACCCTGAGGGTGAGATACATTTCCTATATGATGTCTGTACTTCTGACAGTCATCTGTGGTAGTTTATCTATTTATTTTCATAGCTAAAGCAGAGAAAGACATCCTTACAAGGAATTATCCTGCCCATTTTCTGTACCTGCTTTAGGTAAGTGCAGGTGACTGAGCACTGACAGCCTGCCCTGGGAGGGAGTGGAGTCTCCCTCGCTGAAGACATTCAAGAACCATCTGGACACAATCCTATGCCTTCTTCCCTGCTCTGGGATGACCCTGCTTGAGCAGGGAGGGTGGGTGGACCAGATGACCCACTGTGGTCCCTTCCAACCTGACCCATCCTGTCACCCTGTGATAAGGTGGGAAGAGCTGTGGAAGTTGGACTCCAGTGCTTGTCAAGGGGGCCAGGGGGAGATATGTTTTGGTTTGATGAGTCCCACCCTGAGAAGGGAGAAAGAATTTAATTTCAGTCTTTTTGGGACAAGGCTGATAAAGAGCAGGAAGTCTTTAAGGACTAAGGATTTTTTTTAGGAAGAGACTTTTTTTTTTTACCTGACATTACAGTGATTCAAGGACATTGATGCCTGAATAATTGGAATTCCAAGTGATTGAAGGAGTGGAATTAGTTATTTAGGAATTTTTTTAAATAAGGGTGAAGTCCATTGCTGAGACATACGTTATTTTTGACCTTTAGAGAAATTATTAATAATACTGAGAGGCATGAAATATGTATTTTAATACATTAATGGCAGCCTGGCCTTACCAGTGAAATAACTGATGAAACTGTTCAATAATTGTATAAGTGATTGTTTAGTTAGAGGGGATTTCAAGAATTTGTGGTGGCTGAGGAGAGGGTTCTTACTGAAGATTGCCTTTTGAAATTAAAATTTGGTTTAGTTGACAAGATTTAGATCTATTTCTTGACTGCATAATACAGATATTTTAGCAGTGGTTTTTGCTGTAATTCATGGGCAACAGCATGTGTTTCTCTAGAGCAGCACATGCTGGCACAGGAGAAACCATGACTGAAAAAAAATAAAAGCTTTAAAAAAAAGAAAAGCTTTAAAAAATAACCTTCCTTTATTTTCTGATAAGTGATAAAATTTAGATTAACATAAAATCTACAATTAAAAATATGCAGATAAAACATTTTCATCTTCTCTCTGACACCACTGGCGTATGTTTTTGTAGTGTTGGGGGAAGCTGATGTTCTTTGGTTTCAATAGCAATCCTTTCTAGAACTTGGCATTATGTAAGTTTACACTCTTCTCAGTTTAGTCAAATATCACAATTTATTCTTGGGTGGGGTAATTTGTGGACAATTGAAATGAAAGCAAACAAAAAAAAAGGAAAAATAGAATATAGTAAAAACAGTAATAATAAAAAAGAACCTGTCTGAAAAAGAACAAGTTAATGTCTGGGCATTGAGAAAAACATAGAATTTTTGCGTAGCTGCATCCTTAGTGCTATAGGAAATGCAATCTTTAGTGCTAGTCTTTTGACACAACAGAGATGAGTCTTTTGAGAGAATCATATAAAATTTCAAATATAGTGCAGACTATACTGTGAAATCTTTGTCAGGGTAGTAGCATCTTCACTCACTGTGGTTTGCATTAACCCTGCTTTGTTCTGAGTGTCACTACTTTGGCTGCAGAAGAATTTGCTAATTCCAAGAGGCAAAAGGGTTTGTTGGTTAAAGAGTTGAAGGAAAGGAGTGACCCTGCAAGGAGGTTATTTTTCTAGAAATGACTTGTGCCAGTGTCACAGCTTTGATTTGGTGGTGTGATTTTTTCTGTCAGCTTTACCAGCTCCCCTGCCTATGAGCAGGACAGTGATTTGCCTTTGCATGGGTCATTGAGCTCCAGAACTTGTTCTGCTCCTGCTCACTCTCATCTATCACCACAAATGCCTCTAACTGTGCTTCCTGTAGTGAGGAAATTCTCATCAAATAATTTTAGATCCGATATCTTCATGCCTCAAAACATTTCAGGGCTGACCTTTCATCACTTCAAGCTAGCTGGTATTTTTTGTGAGTGATGGGGAGAGATACTGCACTTGTAACCTTGGTTGGAAACCAAGGACTCTGGAGCTGCCTTGGGCTCCTGTGTTTAGAAGGGAATATCTAAATGTATAGCTTTCACTTTCCAACTGATCTGTGCCTGCAATGCTAGGATATGTTTGGGTATTCATGCCACCTTGCCTAAATGAATGCAATACCCAGATAGTATCACAGACCCCTTCTGTAATCAGCATAGAGAAGCAAATCTTTTAGCCAAGAGCAGAAATCAATGCCCCAAACTGACCAATATGAGTGCTCCTTCCATCCCTGGATGTGTCTGCCTTGTTCCCTGGCCTGTACAGCCTGAAATAAAGGATCCAGGAGGTAGCTGCTCCTGGGCAGTGTCTCAGCTAGCCACACATGCTTGTGTTGGGGGCTTTAAGGAGACCAAAGGCCACAATTCAACAGAACTGGTTCTCTCTGCTCGTGGTGGGGAGCCCAGAACAGGAGGTGAAATGGCAACAACAAAAACACCGTGTTCTCCTTCATGTTGTACCAGAACTATAGTTAGATGCAGGAGCTTGTCAATAAATGCTCATCTTTCTGTTGGATCATTTCAGAGCAATCTTACACTACTATTGCATTTTGGAGTCCTTTGATTTTTCTTTTTTTAATGGACACAAGTGATGTAGCTAAAACTCAGTAAAGAATCATAGAGCAAAAACAATATATTATTTTAAGTAAAATGTGTTTTCTTTTAAGTAATTCTTCCTGATCTGGCATATATATGTATCTTCTTTTCTGGAGCTTTTGCGAGAGGACTAATGGCAATGAGATGTTATGCATAATGAGGTGCATTAATTTTAAAAAGAAAGAAATCACTCCTCAAAAACCAAAAGGCTGAAATGGCAGGGCTTGCAATCACAAGAAAAAACGCAACAGTTATATGGTAACTATAATAAATTTGGTTTTGAATGATTAAATGATACTGCCCTATAGTAGTAATTTGTATTCAGGGAGATCTACTCCTGCTTGCAGCTGTTATGAAAATGTGCATAATTAGACTACCATTTCTGTCTTAAATTTGTCTGCAGCTCAGTAAAGATATTCTAAAAGGATAGCTTGCTGTTGTGTTAAAGTTTATTTGGAGGTGAAATAAGATCAACTGAATTAATATTATTCTTGTTTTGAATAAGAAGATGTGCATAAGAGTTCATGCAGTTGAACTAACACACTTTTGGAGTCTGTTTAGCTTAACTTTCTTGAGCATTCAGAGGTATACAGACCTGAACTAGTTGTGCAGTGTGAGAAAATACGTGTGTAAAAGAATCCTGTTAGCAATTTTGAGATTCTTCAAGAGAACTGAGATAATTTTTTAAATTAGGAATTTTTTTCCTGGTTTTAATCTAGAATTTCTTAATAGCTCAAGGTAAATTTTCAGCTGCAGTTAAAGCTTAGAGATCTTTTTTTGGTATTTTTTTGAGAATGACTTGTTGAATGCAGGATTCTTTATTTAGAGGGGTGCAGGAGTGCTCCACATCTGAAATAATTGGTATGTTATCTTTTCCCCTATTTCACAAAATGTAGTTTATTTACAGTTAATTTCTGTCAATGTTTCTTTTAGTGAATTCATCCAAATGGCTTCCACTAATCCAAAATGAGCAGCATTGGAAAACTTAATCTATCTTGAATTTTTTAAAACGCTATTTTCTCTTGCAGATGCTGCCTTCCTCCAAAGATGTTTCACAGGCTAATGGACAGCCAGAGGATCATGTGGCACATGCCAAAGGGAACAGGATGACTGGGTCGGTATCTGCAAACCCTCAGCCAGGGATGGATGGCCCCCACAGTTCTCCCATCACCCCACACGTGTGTGCTGGTTCTTCTGTTGGAGTGACAAGCCCAGAGGTCATTGCATTGAGAACTAAGAGAAAACCATCTCAAAAATTGCCAGGTCAGTAAAGGTTTCCTCACTGTTTTTAGTTTAGTGAAATCTCTTATTCTTGGCAGAAGATACAAATGTTTGAATGATTCCTTCCAGAGTTGCACAGTTGATTGTTAGTTTAGACAAGCTGACAATAATAAATGTTTAATGTTTTTCATTATGTGTTTTCTTTACCATTGTTTAAGAGGGGCTTGGGGATTGTAAAAATAATTAAAAGATTTTGTTTTCATCATGGTACACTCTATGGTAAGATAATCTTTGCAAATTGTTGGATTTTTTTTAAAAAAAGTTGTTATGTTGATCTTGTCCTACCTTTTTTCCTTTTTTCCCCTCCAATTCTTTTTTTTTTTTTTTTTTTTTTTTTAGTGATCCAATTATTCCTATGCCCTGAAGCTCTTTATAGTAATTTCCATTAACTGCAGGAATCCTGTTAAGAGCAGAGCTGATCAATTGCAATTGCATTTGTGACAGTCTGCTGCTAAACTAAACACGCAAGAGATTTTAGCCTCTCTAAGACAACAGAACCTCTTCATACTTGTATGGAAACAAAATCCAAATATGCAATTACTGGAGCCAGTTAGGTACAGTTAAAAAATAATACTCTAATGAATTTCCTTTATAATCTTGGATTAAAATTAATTCAATGAAACAATTAAAAGCATAGTTTTGCTTTTGGCATTAATGAAAAGAACATGCAAGATACTGAGATTTCCTTTTAGTTAAGTAATTTATTATGCAATGAAATGGTGACTCAGAATTCTGATAACATGTTACTTAGTCTAGGGGATATATGTGACAGTTCAAATCAAGTTTCCTGGTCCTTTTCTCTCTCACACTCAAACATAAAAAAGACCAGTGAAGATATGGCCATAAAAGAAAACTGTTATGGAGAGCAGAATGCAAGTAGCTCTTTGATTGATCTTCGTGAACTCAGAGATTATTTTTTTTTATATATCATATGAGCTTTAATTAAATCCCAATGAAAGCAGGACATGGGCCTCTTGTACAATTATATAGATGGCTACAGCTGAAATCAGCCACAATGCATAGAGCATCCTGTTTCCACAAGAGCATACAGCAGCACACTGGGACATCCAAGGTTATGGTTTCTGTTCTTCTTTCTTCCTCAGATACCTTCAGTTGTCCCCTCCAGCCCAAACCCATGGGCTGGTCCCAACTTGTCCATGATCTATGAGGAAGTCCCTTGGCCTCTGCTGTCAGGGATGAGGATGCTGCCATGTCCCTGGAGCGTGGTGTGTTCTGGGCCACGAAGGGGAGGGATCGGTTGTCGAAACATGATGATGTATTTTGGGGTCAAATAGGAAATCAGCGTGCAGGTGCTATTCCCCAGAGAAAGAACACAAAAATGCCATTATGAATAAGGCATGGCTCTCTAGAGAAAAAACAGATGGCTCAACCTCAGCCACCACAGCAGAAAGCTATTTGCCAGACGTGTTGTCAGCAAGAAGTAAAGGTCGATATCCTGTGGGGAGAAGTCAGCTGCATGGGAAAGAATAAAACCTGCAGAAATAAAACAAGGTAAACATCTTGGCAATGTGATTTTTCCCATTGATACAAAAGTATTAATAATTTTTTTTAAGTCACATATTTCACTAGTTAGCATGGCCTAGCAAGTAGTTTGAGATGGCTGGAAAATTTACATGGAAAAGAGCTGTGATATTTTTTATGGTCAAAATTTCATAGAACATTTGAAATCATTGAAACACATGGGTATTTCATTAGCCAGGCTGCCTCCCTATTTTCTTTTCACGTTTTGTTGGTGATTTGATTTTCTTTTAACTGAAACTGTGAAACAATCTATTAAATCATTTTTTCTTTTATGTGTAACCTATTTCTTCAGAGTGCAGTGTCAAGTTCTGAAAGAACTCCTTGATCTCTGAAAGATCTCCCTTGAATAACTGTTTCCTTTGGGATTTTAGGAAATGTAATGTCATGGACTTCCTAGAAATTAATTTTACAAAAATTAGAGGGTAATTTTGCTGTGTTTCTTTATTCTTGGGATATTTCTTTTTAAATTACCCTTTTTTTTTTTAATAGGCCCAACTACAGCAATGTATTGCTGTAGGGGCTAGTATCTGTAAAACAGCATCCTTCAGTTGTTGCTTTTAAGTAACAAATTGCAGCTTACCTTGAGTGGCTTCACTGGACATGTCCACAGCCACTTTTTTTAGGGCACTTCATGGGCATCATGGGTACAGAAACATCTGAGTTCACAGGATGGATGATGCACACTGCACCTGGTGCTGCCAAGCCCCTGCCGTGGGGAGGAGTGTGTGGGGTGCCAGGACACCTGTGCTGACACCGCCAGGACAGCGCTTCCTCAGAGTCTGCTCAGGAATAGCTGCGTGTGTCTGGGCTGCAGGAGCCTTGGGTGGATCCTGACTGTGAAAAGGAGGAGGGAATAGTGTGTCTGTGCAGGTGCATGACTGCACTAATGCTGGTTGGCTCTGGGAAGTTTAACCGAGCATGGTTGTAAATTCTGTAAAATACTGATTTATGCTGTGATCTCACCAGGGTTAATACATTTGGAAAACATCCATTATTCATACATCTTTATCATTATTCTGTATTCTTCATCACTTTTATTAGACAAGGGCATTCACAAATAGTAATGCATGTCACAATTGCTGTGCTTTTCCTCTGCCTCCATTGATTACCCCCATTTGTTCATAGTATGTTACTACTTGTTTTTTGGAAGCCAGAAATGAAATGCCTGGTTTTGATGAAATATTAATGCATACACTCACACTTTATTGTAGAAACCTGCCTTCAGTTGTTCAGTAAGGTAACAGTGCAGTTGCTTGCAGCAGTAACTGGGTTGCTCTTCATCCAACATATCTTTAGAAAGCACACACCAGCTGCCAAGGGCAATAGTCCCTGTAGTGATATTGTTGAGTGCTGCCTAAGCAGGAGGCACCAGTGAGATTCCAAAATGTGAGCTTTTGCTTTTATGTGTCTTTCTCTTCTTCCTGATGCCTGGCCAGAACTTCTGAAGACAGATATACCTGCTAGACAGCCATCAACTGCCTTGTCAAGTATTAAGATATTTTGATGTGCAAATATTTAATTTTGGGTTGTAAATACTGAACATGGTAACTGTTATGTTGATAAAATGATGCTTTAAGAATTAGCCATTGTGATAACTTTTTGGAGCTTTATCTTGCTGACAGTAAAATACAGGACCTGCCAGTTCAGTCTAAGGTCAGATCATAATGCATGAAATGTGCTAATAATAAGGGAATTAATAATAATACTCTGTGATAATATGATAATAAGTCTTTGTTATCCTAGTGAAGCAATCTACTTTGTGTTTGGGGCTATAGTGACTATCCATGAAATTAAGCCTTTGTCAGTCCAGTCCCTTTCTATCACAGATAAGTATGGTTTATTTTAAGTGTTCAGACTTCATTTTAAGCTAATTAGGTTATTTGGCCCCATTCTTCTTCCTGCTGGAACTAATAATTTCCTAAAAAGGGGCTGCAGACACACAGATGTAGATGGAAGAACAGATAATTGCAAGGATATTACCTGCACTGAAGCACTGTAATTCAAAATGAACTCAAGCAATTCATCCAGCAAATGGATTTGTGCTGGCACTTTGTTGCTTTGCTTCCCAAGTGACAGATTTCAGTTAAAATCCTGTAGCCTCTTGAGGTTTTTAATTTTTTAAGACATTCATTCTTCTTACTACAAAGCATTGTTTAAAGATGTGCAGATACCAAAGTTATCATTTGGCCAGCTGTTCCAGCTGCTTTTCATTTATCTTAATTAAAAATGTGAGAGTTTGGGCACTACAGTGGAGGAATGGCAATAAATTAGGAGCAATCAGTTTGGAGAGCTGCATGCAGCAGCACTGGAAAAGGTGAGTCAGCTAAAGGTTTTCTCTTTTAAACCTCTGTCTTACTCCATTTTTCCCATTACTGAATGGACAAATGAGAAATGATAGTAAGATCATACCAAATAATTGTGCAGTAGTTGATTTACAGAATGATGAGAGGGTACATTGCACCATCAAACAGAGCCCCTCAAATTCTTTAAATATGGTCATTTATTGGAACCTGACCCAAAATGTACAGTGTCAGTCCAGATGGTTCCTATATTGGTGTCCTGCTGAGGTCCTGTGGGAATCTCAGCTTGCTCAGTGAGTTATACAGGATAATTAATTTTAGCCCTTATTCTGTAAACTATTTTCTGGGGTTTTTTTTATATTGAGTGGGATCAGTAGCAATGTGCTTGCAGAGCACATCTGAATTGGCCTGTGTTGAGTCACCTGTGGTCTGCTGTTTGCCATCCATGGACCTGCATGAGTCAGCTGGCATTATCTGCACTTGACTGGATGATGAGGATACTTGGAAAGAAGCTGGATGACAGGATGCTGCCTACTGACTGATGCTCACTGAGCCTACTCCCCATCCAGACTCTTCCACTCCCAAAGACACATTTTAAACAGCATAGGAAGCTATTTTCTAGGATCAGTAGTTAGTATCAAATGAGCATTTATTAGTATGTACGGGCAATATTTTCCCAGTTATTTTTCTAGATTTGAGCTACCTAATACTGAAATCAAAATCTCTCTTTTTATTAGCAAAATTATATCTTTTGTCTCTAGTTTCAACAGTATTATTTAAAAATACAATTACATGGAAGAAGTAACCTGAAATAGTGCATAGTGCTTTCTAAAGGCTGTGTGAGAGATAAACTTAAAAAGGGAATTCATGGTGTATCTGAGACTAAAAATGCACTGTAGAGTAGTATGTACCCACCATGGGGGAGGAATTGGAATCTGAGGATCAAAAACCACTGGAAAGAATAACCTTTCTCCTGTAAGAGGTGAAAAAAAAATAATCCATCACTTTCTTCCAATACTAAATGAACATTTTCCTGAAATTAAAGTAATAATCTTCCTGCAGTTGTGCTTTACTGTTTTGCTCTTCACTAGTAGAAGTCACAAATAGGGAATGTAATGCCAGTTTTTATGTTCAAATGCAAAGAACACCTAGAGTGACAGATCATGCATATTTTAAGAGTTCTCTTTAGTCAGTGCAATTCCTGCATTAGACTACTTCTCTTATTTTTCAGGAAAATTGCATTCATAATTTTTTTTTTTAAATGGTAAGTTGCCCTGTATTTTGCCTGCACTTGGCTGTGCATGCAGTTTCACTTAACTAGAAAGAATTAATCATGCAAGTTAAAATGGTAAAGTTGCCCATTACATCTTAGGAATGTCTACAACAGAAATGGTTTGATCAGAATCAGTGAAAGGAACATGTTCTGCTTTTTTCTTTGAGAACTGATACACTGGAGAAGGCTGGGAAGGCACAGGAAGGTAGGGAAGATGACAAAACTCAGTGTCTTTCAGGTAAAAGACACCAGGATCCTAGGTTGTCCTGTATATGAAACATTTGTAGAAAATGCAGAAGGGTTGCTGGTGAAGCCTGCCACTCCCCATGTATTGCTTGCCTTGTGCTATGAAAAACTCTCATGCCCATCAGAGATTTTGGGAATCTGGTCTTACATTCAGTCTGTGATCACTCATTTTCATCCTCAGGACTGGTACTTTCAGGAGTCAGAACAAAACCAAGTCGCCCATGATTAAATTTGCTCTAGTCCCTAAGAATGCCTGTATATTTTTTTTTTTGAGTAGCAATTCTGATTTCTAAAAGCACTATCTAGCACCTTTGTAGTAACAGCCTTTTCATTGAGTCCGTAAGCTGATGGATATTAAAGCCCCTAATTAAAACCAGATAATGCATGAAAGATTTCTACAGTGCAAACCTTTCTCTTAAGGCCTGATTAAACCAAAGAAACCTCACACATCTGTTTGCACAAATGTATTCTCATCAGGTCAGGCACCTGGTAGCACTGACTATGGTCCATCCTTCTCACAATACCTTTTTCTTGGGAGTAAGAAGAACAGCAAAAGCTGGGACAGAAAATCAGATTTTTCGGAAAGAATGGCCTATTACATTTAGCTGGGAATATAGTCTGTCTGCAATCTATCTGGCCCTGATCATCCTATCAGTCAGGAAAATGGTGAACCATAGAATAATGTGTTCATTTACATATAAATGTGTATAAAATATTTATGTGCATATATATACACTTATATATATGTATAATTGCACGCAGTTTGGCATAAATAAATATGGTTTAAAATAATAAGTGATTTTCTACAGATCATTCGTATTTTTTGCTTCATTTTCTCCTCTCTTGGGATTTGCAAATACAAGTAAGAACAAGAGAAGAGTCTGATTTCTTTAATTCTTATTTGGAAGACTGAGTTTAAACCTTAAATTGAGAGGTAACTTAGACTATGCAGTGGAAGTTCTGGTTGTACCTTGACTACACTGCACATTAAAAATCCAGGTATGTATAAATCTGTCT